AAGAGATACACACACACACACACACACACACACACACACACACACACACACACACAGTTGGCCATGAACAGAGGTACTAGGAAGGTGGCTGTTGTAGAATGAATATTATAAAGGAGGCCTGATACATTTTAAGGAAGAAAGAAGGTAACTGATGTCAAGGAAGAAGAAGATCCCCTCTTGACCATCTATCCAATTCTCACTTGCCTGGGTAGACCCACCTTGACAACTCACTGTCTTTGATCCATGGGTCCTTTCTGTGTTCCACCTTAAAGATTACATCTGGTTTTATACCTGAACACCCTGTTAAGAGAAAATTGTAGTGGCTTTGGCCTTGGCAGCTCAGAAATTCATGAAGAGAAGCACTTGCAGGGACCTCCCAGCCAAGTTGGATCCTTAACTCACGCCACAACACAAAAATAAATTCTAGATATAACAAAAGTATAAACATGAAAAACTAAAACTGTAAAAGAACACATTCTGTTAAAGGAATATCATAAAGGTCATGATATTGACAACCCTAAAGAAGGATGAGTAGGATTTGATTCGTTGGTACAAAGGGAATCTGCCCTTACCCACAGAGACCAGATGACTATAGGTCTCCAGCATCACATCCCTATGCAGGGTCTTCTGAGCAGGATTCAACTGCTGCCACTCTTCCTGGGTGAAGTCCACAGCCACATCCTCAAATGTCACTGGTTCCTATAACAGAACATTCCTGTACAATCTGCTTGTTCTGGTGATTTTTACCACAGCAATACATGTAGAATGCCTACTTTGCACTTTGCCTAGCATACTTTATGATAGAAACAATGTAAAATCCTGCCATTAGCAAGAATAGTTAGTGGAACAGAACAGTCTAGAAATAGATACAAATAAAAACAGGAAATTTAATACATAATAAAGGTAGTATTTTAAACAGATATGGAAAAACAGATTATTCAAAACTGGAGAGATATCAGAAACAAAAAATGTAACTGGATTTCCTACATCACACTAAACACAAAAAGAAATTCAAGATATGACAAAATTTTAAATGAAAAAAGAGAAACTATAAAATAAAGACAGGAGAGGTTTTAAAAAATAATCTTTGAGTAGAGAAGACTCTTCTAAGCATGTCCCAAAACCCAGATGCCACAAATGAAAACACTGATAAACGTGACTACTTTATGTGTTACATGGCAAAACAGATCATAAATAAACTCAAAGGACACGACTAGGGAAAAATTATACACACAACAGATAGGATGGACAAAAAGCTAATTTCCTCCAAATACAGAGAGAGCTCCTACAAAGCAAGAAGAAAAAGACCAAGAACTTTTTTTTTAAATGGCTGATATGGTTTGGCTCTGTGTCCCCACCCAAATCTCATCTCAAATTGCAATCCCCACTTCTCAAGGGAGGGAGGTGATTAAATCATGGAGGCAGTTTCCCCCATGCTGTTCTCATAATAGTGAGTGAATTCTCTGAAGATCTGATGGTTTTATAAGTGTCTGGCATTTCCCTTGCTGGCACTTCTCTCTCCTGCCACCATATGAATAAGGTCCTTGCTTCCCCTTCCGCCATGATTGTCAGTTTCCTGAGGCCTTCCCAGTCATGTGGAACTGAGTCAATTAAACCTCTTTCCTTTATAAATTACCCAGTCTTGGGTATTTCTTTATAGTGGCATGAGAACATACTAATACGATGGTCAAGGACATGACAATCAATTCACAGAAAAGAAAATGCAAATGTTTTTTAAACATGTAAAAAGATTCTCAACTTCACTCACATGAAGATAAATGCAAACTAAAACAAGACACCATTTTTCCCTTACATATTATCAAAGATGGGCATTTGATAAGTCACTGATCAAATGCTAAGACTGTGGGAGAAGTCACAGTGACTTAGTGTAAGTTAGTGAAGATGTCAAGAAATGCATACTCAAATTGTCTGTGTATATAGTATATTTTGAAGGCAATTAATTTGGCAATACCTGTCAAAATTTATAATGTACACATCCTCTGACTTGCAATTTGGTTTCTAGAAGTTATATATACATAAATATTCATAAATGTGACCAAATGACATATGTGAAGACACTGCTCTACAGTATTATTTATTTATAATAGCAAAAGAATGGAAAAAACCTCATGGGAGGTTGGATGAATAAATGATGCTACAATCCCCATAAGGGAATACTATATGCAATTATAAAAAGCAACAGGGAAGGGGCCAGATGTGGTGGCTCACGCCTGTAATCCCAGCACTCTGGGAGCCCTAGGCAGGCAGATCACTTGAGGTCAGGAGTTCGAGACCAGCCTGGCCAACATGGCAAAACCCTGTTTCAACTAAAAATACAAAAATTAGCTGGGCGTGGTAATGCATGCCTGTGGTCCCAGTTGCTTGGGAGGAGGCTGAGGCAGGAGAATTGCCTGAACCCAGGAGGTAGAGGATGCAGTGAGCCGAGATCATGCCACTGCACTCCAGCCGGGGTGACAGAATGAGACTGTCTCA